AATACAATGGCACTAAATTCATATTTTTTTTAAAGATTTTATTTATTTATTTGAGAGGGAGAGACTGAGAGAGAGTGCACATGAGAGGGGTTAGGGTCAGAGGGAGAAGCAGACTCCCTGCCGAGCAGGGAGCCTGATGCGGGACTCAATCCCAGGACTCCAGGATCATGACCTGAGCCGAAGGCAGTCGCTTAACCAACTGAGCCACCCAGGCGCCCTAAATTCATATTTTTCAATAGTTACCCTGAATGTAAATGGGCTAAATGCCCCAATCAAAAGACACAGGCTATCAGACTGGATTAAAAAACAAGACCCATCGATATACTGTCTGCAAGAGAGTCATTTTAGAACCAAAGACACCCCCAGATTGAAAGTGAGGGGGTGGAAAACCATTTACCATGCTAATGGACACAAAAGAAAGCTGGGGTGGCAATCCTTATATCAGACAAATTAGATTTTAAACCACAGACTGTAATAAGAGATGAGGAAGGACACTATACCCTACTTAAAGGGTCTATCCAACAAGAAGATCTAACAATTGTAAATATCTATGCCCCTAACATGGGAGCAGCCAATTATATAAGGCAATTAATAACAAAAGCAAAGAAACACATCAACAACAATACAATAATAGTGGGGGACTTTAACACCCCTCTCACTGAAATGGAGAGATCGTCTAAGCAAAAGATCAACAAGGAAATAAAGACTTTAAATGACACATTGGACCAAATGGACTTCACAGATATATTCAGAATATTCCACCCCAAAGCAACGGAATACACATTCTTCTCTAGTGCCCATGGAACATTCTCCAGAATGGATCACATCCTAGGTCACAAATCATGTCTCAACCAGCACCAAAAGATTGGGATCATTCCCTGCCTATTTTCAGACCCCAATGCTTTGAAACTAGAACTCAATCACAAGAGGAAAGTCAGAAAGAACTCAAATACATGGAGGCTAAAGAGCATCCTACTGAAGAATGAATGGGTCAACCAGGAAATTAAAGAAGAATTTAAAAAATTAATGGAAACCAATGATAATGAAAACACAACTGTTCAAAATCTTTGGGATGCAGCAAAGGCAGTCCTAGAGGAAAATATATAGCAATACAAGACTTTCTCAAGAAACAGGAAAGTTCTCAAGTACACAACGTAACCCTACACCTGAAGGAGCTGGAGAAAGAACAGCAAATAAAGCCTAAACCCAGCAGGAGAAGAGAAATATTAAAGATCAGAGCAGAAATCAATGAAATAGAAACCAAAAGAACAGTAGAACAGATCAACGAAACTAGGAGCTGGTTCTTTGAAAGAATTAACAAGATTGATCAACCCCTGGCCAGACTTATCAAAAAGAAAAGAGAAATGACCCAAATAAATAAAATCATGAATGAAAGAGGACAGATCACAACTAACACCAAGGAAATACAAACAATTATAAGAACATATTGTGAGCAACTATATGCCAGGAAATTAGATAACCTGGAAGAAATGTATGCATTTCTAGAGAGGTATCAACTACCAAAACTGAACCAGGAAGAAATAGAAAACCTGAACAGACCTATAAGCACTAAGGAAATTGAAGCAGTCATCAAAAATCTCCCAACAAACAAAAGCCCAGGGCAAGATGGCTTCCCAGGGGAATTCTACCAAACATTTCAAGAAGAATTAACACCTATTCTTCTGAATTGACGCAAAAAATAAAAATGGAAGGAAAACTTCCAAAGTCATTTTATGAGGCCACCATTACCTTGATCCCAAAACCAGACAAAGACCCCATCAGAAAGGAGAATTACAGACCAATATCCCTGATGAACATGGATGCAAAATTCTCAACAAAATAATAGCTAGTAGGATCCAGCAGTACATTAAAAGGATTATTCACCACGACCAAGTGGGATTTATCCCTGGGCTGCAAGTTTGGTTCAACATCTGCAAATCAATCAATGTGATATAATACATTAACAAAAGAAAGAACAACAATCATATGATCCTCTCAATAGAGGCAGAAAAAGGTTTTGACAAAGTACAGCATCCTTTCTTGATCAAAACTCTTCAGAGTATAGGCATAGAGGGTACATACCTCAATATCATAAAAGCCATCTATAAAAAACCTACTGCACATATCATTCTCAATGGGGAAAAACTGAGAGCTTTCCCCCTAAGGTCAGGAACACGGCAGGGATGTCCACTATCACCACTGCTATTCAACATAGTACTGGAAGTCCTACCCACAGCAATCAGACAACAAAAAGAAATCAAAGGCATCCAAATCGGCAAAGAAGAAGTCAAACTCTCACTCTTTGCAGATGATATGATACTTTATGTGGAAAATCCAAAAGACTCCACCCCAAAACTGCTAGAACTCATACAGGAATTCAGTATGGTGGCAGGATATAAAATCAATGCACAGAAGTCAGAGGCATTCCTATACACCAACAACAAGACAGAAGAAAGAGAAATTAGGGAGTCAATCCCATTTACAATTGCACCCAAAACCATAAGATACCTAGGAATAAATCTAACCAAAGAGGCAAAGGATCTGTACTCAGAAAACTATAAAATACTCATGAAAGAAATTGAGGAAGACACAAAGAAATGGAAAAATGTTCCATGCTCATGGATTGGAAGAACAAATATTGTGAAGATGTCAATGCTACCTAGAGCAATCTACACATTCAATGCAATCCCCATCAAAATAGCATCCACTTTTTCAAAGAAATGGAACAAATAATCCTAAAATTCGTATGGAACCAGAAAAGACCCCACATAGCCAGAGGAATATTGAAAAAGAAAAGCAAAGCTGGCGGCATCACAATTCCGGACTTCCAGCTCTATTACAAAGCTGTTATCATCAAGACAGTGTGGTACTGGCACAAAAACAGACACATCGATCAATGGAACAGAATAGAGAGCCCAGAAATGGACCCTCAACTCTATGGTCAACTCTCTTTGACAAAGCAGGAAAGACTGTCCAGTGGAAAAAAGACAGTCTCTTCAACAAATGGTGTTGGGCAAATTGGACAGCCACATGCAGAAGAATGAAACTGGACCATTTCCTTACACCACACACAAAAATAGACTCCAAATTGTTGAAAGACCTCAATCTGAGACAGGAGTCCATCCAAATCCTAAAGGAGAACACAGGCAGCCACCTCTTCGACCTCAGCCAAAGCAACTTCTTCCTAGAAACATCGCCAAAGGCAAGGGAAGCAAGGGCAAAAATGAACTATTGGGACTTCATCAAGATAAAAAGCTTTTGCAAAGCAAAGGAAACAGTCAACAAAACCAAAAGACAACCGACAGATATTTGCAAATGACATCAGATAAAGGTCTAGTGTCCAAAATCTATAAAGAACTCATCAAACTCAACACCCAAAGAACAAATGATCCAATCAAGAAATGGGCAAAAGACATGAACAGACATTTTTACAAAGAAGACATCCAAATGGCCAACAGACACATGAAAAAGTGCTCAATATCGCTCAGCATCAGGGAAATCCAAATCAAAATCTCAATGAGATACCACCTCACACCAGTCGGAATGGCTAAAATTAACAAGTCAGGAAATGACAGATGTTGGCGGGGATGCGGAGAAAGGGGAACCCTCCTACACTGTTGGTGGGAATGCAAGCTGGTGCAGCCACTCTGGAAAAGTGTATGGAGGTTCCTCAAAAAGTTGAAAATAGAGCTACCATAGGATCCAGCAATTGCACTACTGGGTATTTACCCCAAAGATACAAAAGTAGGGATTCGAAAGAGTACGTGCACCCCGATCTTTATAGCAGCAATGTCCACAATAGCCAAACTGTGGAAAGAGCCAAGATGTCCATCGACAGATGAACGGATAAAGAAGAGGTGGTATATATATACAATGGAATATTATGTAGCCATCTAAAGGAATGAGATCTTGCCATTTGCAACGATGTGGATGGAACTGGAGGGTATTATGTTGAGTGAAATAAGTCAATCAGAGAAAGACATGTATCATATGATCTCACTGATATGAGGAATTCTTAATCGCAGGAAACAAACTGAGGGTTGTTGGAGTGGGGGGTGGGGTGGGAGGGTTGGGGTGACTGGGTAATAGACACTGGGGAGGGTATGTGCTCTGGTAAGTGCTGTGAATTGTGCAAGACTGTTGAATCTCAGATCTGTACCTCTGAAACAAATAATGCAATATATGTTAAGAAAAAAAAAAAAAGAAGAAGAAGAAGGTAGCATGAGGGGAAGAATGAAGGGGGGGAAATCGGAGGGGTAGATGAACCATGAGAGATGATGGACTCTGAAAAACAAACTGAGGGTTCTAGAGGGGAGGGGGGTGGGAGGATGGGTTAGCCTGGTGATGGGTATTGAAGAGGGCACATTCTGCATGGAGCACTGGGTGTTATGCACAAACAATGAATCATGGAATACTACATCTAAAACTAATGATGTAATGTATGGGGATTAACATAAGAATAAAAAAAATTTTAAAAAAATAACCCATAGATTCTTTAGGAAAAAAAGAAAGAAGAGGATTTCCAAAAAAAAAAAAAAGGAGGGAGAGAATGTGATCAGGCAGGAGACTAGAACAAAGCCATACACTAGAGATTGAGGGTGTATTTTGGTCTGTTAGAAGAAACTGTATCCCAAAATTTTAAAGAGAAACAACTTATATATATACCAAAAATAATGTTAGCTACTCTGAAGGGATAGAATATGACTCTAAAAATGAAAAATAAAAAATATTTTTTAAAAAAGGGATTTATAAGGTGTTGGTTGAAAACGGGAAAAAGAAAAATTCAAAAAAAATTAACTTTGAAAGACTAAAGAATCATAGTAAAAAAGCCATGAATTCTATGTGCAGTATTCCCCTAGCGCTGGAGTTCTGCTGTTCTCATTGATCGGTAAACTTGGTCTTGGCCGGCTGTTCTCGCTGATCTTCTGGGGCGGGGCCTGTTGCCGTGGTTCCCAATTGTCTTTGCCGGAGGCGGAATTGCCCCGCCCTTGCTGGTCCGGGCTAAGTAATCTGCTTGGGTTTGCTCTCCAGAGCTTTTGATCCCTGCGAGCTTTCCGTACAGCTTTGGAGGCGGGGAGTGAAAATGGCAGCCTCCCAATGTCCGCCCCGGAGGAGCCGAGAACTCGGGGCCCCGCTCCTCAGTGAGCCCCCAGAGCAAAGCCGTCAGTCACTCCCGTCTCCACGGTCTCCGGCCACACTCCGTGCTCACCCGGCCTGTGACCGCACGTTTCTATCTCTGGCCCCCGACCCCGTGTGGAGTCTCCAAACCCAGCAGATCCCTGCGGTGCGCTCCCACGCGGCTCCTCCCGGGGGAGGAAGGTGAGTCTCCCCGGATCTGCCGCTTGTTGGGTCCCTGCTGGAGGAGCAGGGGCCCGACTGGGCCGCGGATCACGGTTTATGGCCACCCCGAGCTGAGAGCCCGCCCTGGGCTCCGCCTCTGCAGCCGGCTTCCCCTCTCCGATACCCAGGAGCTCTGCTGCACTCAGGCACCCCCAGTCTTTCTGTGACCCCAAGGGTCCTGAGACCACACTGTCCCGCGAGGGTTCCACCCTCCGCTTAGCCACTGGAGCGATGTCCCTCAGTAGAGCCAACTTCTAAAAGTTCCGATTTTGTGCTCCGCGGCTCTATCACTTGCCAGAAGCAGCTGACGGAGGCCCCCTCCCCCGCCATCTATCCTCCCGAATATCACCCTGGATTCACTTCTCCGCATGTCCTACCTTCCAGAAGGTGGTCACTTTTCTGTTCAGAGAGTTGTTGCTGTTCTTTTTTTGATCTCCTGTTGAGTTTGTAGGTGTTCAGAATGGTTTGATCCCTATCCAGCTGAATTCCTGAGACCAGACGAAATTTAGGTCTCCTACTCCTCTGTCATCTTGCTCCTCCCCCCTATAGTATTTTTATATATTACTCTTCTCTCTGGTCTTCTCCAGTCCACCAATTCCTGTTGACTTTACAGTAAACAGCTGAAGTGTTGCCTCCAGGGGGAACGTTTCCCAGACCTAAAGATTACATTAAGCCCTCATCATATTTTTTTCAAGGTACCTTACACTTCTTGCTAGCACAGAGCACTCTTGTAATTCCTTAATTAATATCTTCTAATATACTTAAATAAGATGCTTAGCTTCATACCTGACATAATATATACTTAATAATTATTGTAATAACAACCACAGCTATTTATTGAATGCTTCATATGTACCGGGTGCTCAGTGCTTTATTGACCTTAGTTTACCTATCCCTGTTTCAGTATTGAGAAAACTGGGATGCAGGTTAATTTTAGGAAAGCTTCAAAGCTTGTGAGGTAGTGAAGAGCATTGATTCTGGAATCAGGTTACTGAGCTCATATCCCAGATCTGGCACCTGTTGTGTAATCTTAGGCATGTGACAGGTAATAACAACACTTAAAGGATTTTCACAAGGATTAAATGAGGGGGAGAATGGAAATATTCAATGTATATGTGTGGGGGTATAGTTCAAATATTTCAGTGTATTACCTCTAATTTTACATCACTGAGGTTTTCAGTCCCCAGTAGCTTGAGCGGTACCTATTTGGGAAAAACCACAAGTACTGTTTCAGATATGCATGTTGTAGCCATTAGTTATGGTGCCGGGTCACGTGTATTACACAGAAAGTGTAACCATGTGCCATCGTGCAGGAAATCTGAGCTCTCCTAAAAGAATTGGGTATTTCACAACATCTGGAGTCAATATACTAAACAAAGCAGTGCTCACTGGCGCTAAAGTGAGAAGCAGTAGAATTTAGTATTTGAGCATCCCATGGGCATGAGGTGTTTCCTTCCACACATACCCCCCATTTTTCAGATAGTCAGCATTTGAATAAAATGTGTTAAGGAGCATATCCACAAAATCATATTCCTTATTTTGTTGTTCTAAAATCATTTCCCTTGGAGAAGAAAACTTCCACAACTATTTCTGTATCTTAATCTGATAAGACTGAGAATGAAAATCAGTAATGTAATGGTTGTTTTGCCTGTGTAAACAATACTGTGCATCTGTATTGGCAGCTCTGCCCTATTTCTAGTGTTGAAAATGTAACAGCCAAGTTTGGTATGCTCTTCAGTATGCCTGGGAACTACCCTGGTTCAAAATACCTGATAAATAGACAACAGCGCTTCTCTGGCACCTAAAGAGAGTTTGTTATCTGTTCCATTAGCGTCATGCCCACTCAAAGGAAAACTACTTCAAAGGGCCTTTTAGAACTGCTCTTCAATTTCTTCCTACCCTCAGTGCATTATTATTTTCCCTATTTTGAGAAGTGTTCACTTGAGACTTACGACCTGCTTAGGTGAAACTAGGTTTAGCTATGCCTATATGTCCATAGCCAGGTTAGAAGTAGTTGGAGATTTCACTAGAACAGCATGAGTCTAGACTACATTCTACCCAACAATTAACTTATGGAACACAGAAGTGATTAACTCGGCAATAAGTCTAAGTTTGCAGTGACTAAGTAAAACAGTTTGATCTCTTTAAAATTTAAGAGAGAGTTAACAAAGAAATAGAACAGAGGACGAAAATGGCGATCATATGCAGTTCCATTTTTGTCCATTAATAATTCCAATCTATCTTCCTTGCCTAGGTCTACTGGCTGTTGGAATATAAGAGATGACTTGGTTCTGAGAAAGGCTACCTGAGACCAGGCTTGGAGCCCCTGGCTAAGAACCTTAAAACCTGAGCACTGGGAAAAATTGAGTATTATGAGATGTGTGCATGCCAGGGGCTATTTAAGATTGGCCTTCTATTATTAGATCTTAATGGGCCCATATCCTTCACTTCCAACATACCAAAATGGTGCTAAAAGACTGGTATTAGACTATTCTTCTGTAGTCCACGAAGCTAGAAGAGAGTGTAAATATATCTACAAGTCATAAAAAGGGAGCTGCAACTTTGGAATTCCATACTTGGCCAATATATCATTCACCTATCCAGGAAAAAGGAAAATGTGATGGTTATTTAAGAATCTAAGAAAAACAACTAAGAAAGGATTCTAAGCATATAACAAGTGATTCAAAAACAAGAACCTTACCATGGATGATAATGGAGAACTCAGGGAATAATAAGCAATGGCCCTTGATATATATATAAGTGTATATATATAGTGTGTGTGCATATTTATATACATTGTATATATAGTATATAATAAGGTATATGTTGTACATATTTGTATGTATAATTATAATATACACACATACAGATGTATATATCATTCATCTAACATTGAATATGTAATTTTATACTGTCTGAAGGTATATAACTGAAGTATTAAATAAGAATGCAAAATTTTAAAAAGGTTACACTCAAAGGGATATCCTTATTACTTTTAGATGTTACACATTTCTTGTCTCAGTTGATCATTAGGCCGTTAACTTTATACCTCCCCTTTATTGAAAAAAATCTTTTTTTAATATATAATCACATCAACTTTTTTTCCACAAATTACACAGCATTTTAAAAATCCCCAATTAAAATGCAAATGCTCAAGTAATTGTTCCACAGTATGTAATTGTTCCCCATGTATCCCATAATGAGAAATGACTTGCTAAGGATTCAAGGTCATGGGTGGTGGTGTGTGAGATCAAAAGCCAGAGTGGAAATATTCCCCCCCCGCCCAGACTATGTTCTACATTTACACCATCAAGTTTGATATACCTACCCTTGAACTTAAGAATTAAGAATCATACCCTAGTCAGCTATTATGACAGATATGAAAATACATGATTCCTTATGTATGTCAAACAGAAAAATACAAGTTGAACCTGCCTGGCTTATGAGATGACCTTATAATGCCTTAAGGGAATTATACACAAGAAAGGTCAACACATTTTGCTTACCAAGAAAGGAAAACATATGGAAGGACACTGCACAGCATGTGTATACGTATAGGGTGGAATGTACCATGATCGTGATGGCCATTGTGCGAGCTACGTGTTCAGTTCAATATGACAGCTAAATGAGCCGGTGGAAGAAAGTCAGAAGCATGGTGTTACTCAAAGGACAGGCAATAAAAGCAAAAAATATTGAGGAGTCACCTTTGCTATTTGTCCTTCAATGGACTCTGACAGCTAAGTCTTAATAGCATGTGAAACCCAAAGAGGGGTGCAAGAAATTTCACTTCTTACATTTTGTAAAAAGTGCATTTACTCTCTAGCTGGAAGTCCCACTCCATTTACAAGTGTAAAATATAATATTTCTAGTTTGTGCTGAACTTGAACCCTGCAGAGTAAACTCAGTTTGTTCACCTTTCATTTCCTTTCCTCTTCATCTCCCCAGGGCAGCATCTCAGTAAGTGTGCTCATGGAGTGGCAAGCCTGCAAGAAGAAATCCCCTCAGCAACGATGAGGAAAGATCTCTGCTTTCCAGCATCTCCTTCCAAGAGACGTTTTTTAGTGTCTTACTCTTCTATTCCTTCTCATCTTCCCTCCCTCTCCTAAATTCAGAAGATCTTCATCTCTCCTGAGAGGGAAGGTTGTTCTGCTTGGATGCATAGCCTTCCAATCTTCCTATCTTACATCTGAACCACAGCTTTAGAATTAAAAGCCAAAATCTGATACCTCACTTCCCTCGTTATATAATGATAAACTTCCCTAAAACAAAGGATTGCTCATGTGTAACATGAAATGAGGAAAGGTCAAGGGACAAAAATGGAATGTAACACACACACACACACACACACACACACACAAAACCCCTCAAGTAATCCACAGAAACTTTACATCATTATTCATATCATAACATTTATATCATATTAAATTCCACCTCTATCTTAAATCTTTGCATCACAGCAAAGAAAGTGTATTTCTCACACAGATGCTTCCCACCCCCATTGTATCCCCTCAGAGGAAGGGAGCAAAGCATCGCTCTCCAAAATGCATTGTTTCAGACAAGCCATTTCCACACACAAACTAATACATAGCAAGATGGATGGGTGTTAGGTCTTCCAGACTGTCCACAAACACGTGAATAGGCCTATGCTGAGTAAAATGCCTACTTTCCTCCAAGCATGTCATTGCAGGGGATGAGACAAATAACAATATGATTTACACACTGGAAGAGACAAGTATAATAAGTCATGTTGTTATTACATAAAACAATGCTCTAGTAATATAGCCTTCATACTTTCATTTAAAAAATTCAAATCTATTTTGAATAAAATTTGATGGACTTTCACTTATTCCCATAAAACAATCATAGTCCTAGCATTGGGAAAATGAAAAAATTAAAGTATGAAAATTAAATGACTTGTCTAGAGAACAGTGTTGAAAGTAAAGTTTCAAAACCAATGACTGTTTGTATTAAATCATTTGGCTATTCTTGGAGTATGCGATGGAGAAAATCCCAAATACGTCTGCATAATGACCATAGTCAATGTGAAGTCAATAAAAAGAAGATAAAAAGGCTTCCTACGTTTTTCCTTTTTTTCTTTTTGTAACATGCCTACAATAAGGAAATATGGGTAATTTGATGTGAATAGATACCAATAAAGAGATTTGAGCAAACATCCTAAACTTTCACAAGGCTGTTATTTCTCTACTTTGTTGTCATTTTACTTACTCAGCTAGCATTCAACCAGTCCACAATATATTGCTTAAATACCTGATCAGGAAATGCTATCATGATCTCTTAAAAAAAATTCTCTTTTTTTAGGACTAGCGTCCTTATATAACAATTTGGTGCCATTTTAATAGAGGCATTTTTTGGAATAAAGATGACAAATAAAATCAAGTCAGATTGTACACACTGGCTAAATGGAACTCAATAACCAACTACATAGCCAATTTTACTTTTTTATGCAGGACTCTGGGCCTCTAACTATCCTGAGCAGAACTGTAGATATTTAAATCTTGAAAGAACTCCATAAAGGAAATTCTACAACGTCTTGCAAAAGAGTACTCTAGCAAAGCTTACTTAGCCAAACCAAGCCCAGCAACAACTCAAACCCCACTGAAAGTAGATAGATCATTGTTTCTAGAAACATCACGTCATCTGAAAGTACTCTGCATGCTCATCTGTATGAATGACGTCTGGACTTTCTGAATCAGTTCAACTCATATAGATGCATACAGGAGACTCTTTCCTTTTATCCCCCAAACTCTTCAAGATTCTCCCTCAGATTTACCTTCCAATATTAAAAATAAATAAATAATGAGAGAGAGAATCCACAGGGTAGTAAAGCTTTCATTGCACAGTAACTATATTACACAAAGTAGCTAATTACACATGGCAAAATTGATTTTTCTGGGAAAAAAACAGAAAATATAAACTATAACGTTGCATAGAAACATATATGAATAGTCACTTTTTTGACTTATGCTTAAATTTTATTAAACTTAAATAGCTTATTAAGCTTAAAAGTCTGCCTTTTCTTTTTTTTAAGATTTTATCTATTTATTTGAGAGAGAGCACACACCAGTGAGCAAGTGGGGGGAGGGGAAGAGGGAGAAGGAAAGAGAGAATCTCAAGTAGACTCCATGCAAAGCCTGAGCTCAAAGCCTGACGTGGGCCTTGATCCCACGACCCCGAGACCAAGACCTGAGCCAAAATCAAGAGTTGGTCGTTCAACCCACTAAGCCACCCAGGTGCCCCAAGTCTGCCTTTTTTTCTGTAGTTAGTTTTTATGAAACCTACTAATTACCAGTATTGTGGTGAAGAGCAAAACATTTAATATATGGTTCCTGCCCTCAGAAACAAGAGGAAGAGATACATATGCAAACTAACTATATAGCAAATCAAAATATGACTTTGAAACAAGAGAAGCAACAATAAAGTGCTATGAGAGAAAAAGAGAGGGCACAATTAACATCACAGCAGAGATAAAGTTGAGTTCAGTCTTAAAGACCAGGCAGGATTTTAACAGGCAGAAACCAAGGTGGCCAATGTGCCTCTGGTCTAAGGAAAGCTTCTGGGCAAATATACAAAGAACGTAAAATGAGGGATACACTTTGAAACTATCAAGTAGTCTATGTGAGCCAGAACAAAGTTATATTTCTCTCTTTGGCCTAAATTATAAAGAGTTTTCATATAGTTAATAGCCAGTTATGTCAAACTTCAAATTCTGGAAACAATCATTTAAATTATTTTGTGGAATTACCAGTAGGGCTGCTGGTAATTTCTACCCATCTTATGACACCCCAAATTAACATTTCCTTTCATCTGTTATCATTTTGTGATTTGTTTTGTTTCTTTATATAGATCACATACTCAAATCTAAACTGCTGAGACATCATGGTCATAAATTTCTACCCTTTTATAACTTTAAGAAGAAATCAAACCCAACTGAAACCAAGCAAGCAGATCTAGCGTACTCATCCCATAGGCATTGCCAATAGGCCACCAACATTTTGAGGCTCAGAGTAATTTATGCTTTGATCCTAAGCTTTGGGTTGCCATACAAGTTAATGTATTATGTTATGAATGATTCTGTAAGTCTGTTGTACACATTTCCGGCCCAAAATATTCCTGATGATAAAGCATAGCATTTCATCCGTCTTCTTAAACATCTCTATCTCGGTGGATAATGGTAAGATTCAAGAATTGTAAGTTATGAGAGTAATAGTATTTTGAAGTTTTCATATGAAGAGTAACAGGATGTTAAAATGGAACTTTTACTCTTTCATCCAAAACTTGATAGTCAAGAACGATAAAACAGATGCCAAGTATACCACATTCTAAAGCAGGGATCAGCACACCCTTTCTGAAAAGTACTAGATAGTAAATATTTTCAACTTTTCAGTCCATCAAGTTTAATCACTCCAGTGTGCCACTGTATGTGGAAAGCAACACAGACAACGTGCAAATGAATGGCCATGGCTGTTTTCCAATAAAACTTTATAGACACTGAAATTTGGATTGCTCCTGACTTTCACATGTCAGAATATTCTTCTTCTTTTGATTCTTTTCCCTGCTGTTTAAAATTATAAAAGTCATTCTCAGAGCACCAGTCATACAAAAAATTAGTACCAAGATAGATTTGGCCAGGAGGTCAAAGTTTGCTAACCTCTATTCCAGAAAGAGGTGCTAGTATAGGACGTGCTAAGAGATTATAAAATACATTTTAACAGCATTTTTGATGTTCCAATTCCAGAATATATAAATGAGAGAGAGTTGACAAGATGGGGGAAAGTGTATTCTATGTTAATTTCTATACCATACCCAACATCAAGGGAGGCAGGGGTTCTTCCTTATACCTGGAATACCTTGTACCTTGAAGTTTTGGCTTCAGGTGGCAAAGTGAATCAGAGCTGCACTGGTAGGCTGCTGCCCTTCCTTCTGTGGAAAAGAAAGAATGTGTGAGTTTTTGCTTGGCCCAAGAGAGGGACCAGCCTACATTTATTTTAAAGGGGACATCACCCAATAAGATTGCCCAAAGGAGTAAAGAGATCCAAACGAAGAAAATCTGTGTGGAGTTCACACATACAAGCTAAGGGATCAGGTATCTGTGGCCAACTGGAAAGACTTGGAACCTAATGTATTGCCTGACAGAAGACAGAACCTAATGTATTGCCTGCCCCAAGGAACCTACAGTCAAGAGTCCCACAGCAGAAATGGTTTAGAAAACCCTGACTATCCTATGAGCTTGTAGCTAAGAGAAAACCAAGGACAGATTATGACTGCTACCTAAGCTTGTGCCTCTTTCCCCTAAATCCCTCTCCCTGCAGAGAAGTGTAGGGAAGGAAGAGAGGAAGAAACAGACAAAAAGCTATCACCTTCCCCCTTTCCAAAAGCCCACTCAAGATTGAAATTATGTGATTAATTCTGCCAGGGACATCACAGCCCAAATAAAACCATTTTTGAGTCTAAGAGGAAGTGGAGAATTTTTATCTAATAAAGTTCATAAACACTTTGTGATACACCTGATTTCACCCAGGGGCAAGAAAAGGATTATTTAGCAAAAGAAGTTTATTTGCTTAGGGTTAGGTTTTAACAGGGAGTAGCAGAGAATATTCAATTTGGTTTCTGCTTATTTCCCATCAGTTCAGTCTCACTGCTCAATCAGACAGCTGTAATTGGCAAACTTCTCATAATACGGTTTTTGCATTGCTATTTTTCTAATCCTTTGGAATTGACATGGCAATGACTGGAAGTTCTTGAAAGCCAAGAAAAATTATTAAATTATGTACACAGTCCCACACCTTAATTGCACTTTGGTTTCACACGGACATAACACGTTTCCCCTGCCTTTGGTAGTAAACACTGATAGTTACAGAAGCAATTTCAATATTCTCTAAGTAAAAGTGATAAAAGAATCTAATGAATTTCTCAAAAGCAGCCTGTTTCAAAGATGACTGTCATATCATCAAATATTTATTTTTTGCAACTTTACAGGCAGGAATGAATCATTCCTCACTTAGCATTACTTATGGAAGAAAATATGTAGCCTTTTCAAGATCTGCTTTTGACAATGTTTTCAAGCTCTTACATTTAAAGTAAAATATAAATTTGGCAATGAGCTGCAATGGTATTCACATTTTCCTATATTTTGATAAGTTGCATATATGCAGGCATTCGCACCATTTCTAAGAGGGCAAGGGTGTGTATCAGGGTCACTTCACAACAAATAGGTCCTTCCAGAAAAACTTAACTGAATAGATTTTCCAAATTCACAAGTAGAGTTTACTTTGCCACTTGCTATCCTAGGTCAAATATAACATTGCCTCTATACCTAGGTAGCATGACCATAAAAATCACCTTTTAAA